ACTGCAACATCTCAAAAAAGTTGGGAATGGTCCGTGGATGCGTAGCATCCCCTCTTCTTTTAACAACAGACTATGGACGTCTGGGAGCTGAAGAAACCAGCTGATGGACTGTTGGGAGAGGAATGTCGTCCTGTTCTTGTCTGATTTAGGATTCTAGCTGCTCAACAGTCCTGTGTCTGCTTTTTCATTTCATGATGCATCAAATGTTTTCAGCTGGTGAAAGGTCTGGGCTGTGGGCAGGCCAGTCGGGCACGGAGGCCACTATGAAGCCATGCTGCTGTAATAATTGCAGTATGTGGTTTTGCTGAAATATGCAAGGCCTTCCCTGAAAAAGACGTTGTGATGGTGGGAGAATGTAATTCTTTAAAATCTGTATGTACCTTTCAGCACTGATGGTGCCCTTCCAGATGCACGAGCTGCCAATTCCATTGGAGCAAATGCTACTCAGTACCATCACAGATCCAGGTTTTTGAACTGAGTGTTGATCTCAAGCCGGGTGGTCCCTCTCTTAGCCAGAAGAGAGAGGGTCAATGTTTTCCAAAAATAATTTCCAATTTCAATTCGTCTGACTACAGAACAGTTTTCCACTTTACCTCAGTCCATTTTAAATGAGCTTTGGCCCGAAGAAGACAGCGGTGTTTCTGGTTCACATATGGCTTCTTCATCGCGTGATAGAGCTCTAACCTACATTTGGTCATAGTACGGTGAACTGTGTTGAAAGACAATAACTTCTGGAAGTTTTTTGAGCCCATGCAATGATTTACATGACAGAGTCATGCCTGGTGTTAATGCAGTATTGCCTCAAGGCCTGAAGATTTTTGGTCTTTTCCCTTGCGCACAGAGATTTCTCCAAATTTTCTGAATCTTTTGACGATATTATTTATTTTGAGCAACTCTTGTCTCTCTAAGATGCTGTTTTTATATTCAGTCTGTTGCCAGTGAACATAATTAGTTCTAAAACATTAGTCAAGCTGTTTCTTTTTACTACCCCTTCCTTTTCCAGCCTTTTTTTTTTCCTCCGGCACTTTTTTTGACGTATGCTGTTGCCATCAAATTCAAAATGAGCTGACATATGTTTTAAATGGTGCATTTTCTCAGTGTAGACATTTTATATGTTTAGTATGTTCTAGTGTCAGTGGGTTTATGAGATTTGCAAAATCATTACATTCTGTTTAGTGTAATGGTATGCACAAGGAGCAGCCAGCAGGGAAGATCTTTAGTGGGTGGAGACCCTGATAGTAGCTCTCTGCTTGACATCAGGTGCCAAACCAAATTCTATGCCAATGTTATATGGATTCAGAAATTCCATATCCATTCCTCATTGCATGGATCATAATGCCGATGGGTCCCTGCATAAGATTGAGCAGGATTTATAGAAAGGTTAAGCTGATTCCTGGTCTGCGCCTCGGGGTGAGGGCTTTTACGAATTTAAAGTGGATGACAGGCGATTTTCTGCTACTTTGGCCGAACAATAAAGCCAAAAAATTTCTTGGCAAGCATGTGTGGTAGGAGTTACAGCAAGTTAGTCATAGCCACCCAGTACAGCAGAGAATGGGAGTAGTATTAACTGCAGCAGATGCTCATATTCACTATGAGATTTTTTAAATGTTTATTTTCACAGTTAATGACAACAAACTCCACTTGACAGCAATTACCAGTAAAATCCCGCCTTTATTGTTAGCAACATTCATTATGTGTCACCATATAATTTACAATGACCGTGTGATTGAAAACAATAATAAGTGAATCTCCTCGTTCGGAGGTCTGCACTGGTGAAGCGAGAAGCATACAGCCGGTTAAGGACTAACGCAAAATCTCAGGTTCTGTGTTTTATTGCGACACCAACATTTCTTTAACCCAAGAAATCATGCGAGTCATTTAACAGCTTCACATTTTTCATGTGTTCATTGGTTGTGTGGTTCACTATATTCTGGACAATGTACACAAAGAGCTTATTTTAAAGCAGAATGCATGATTGTCTGGGGTTTTTTTATTATTAGTTTGCTTATAGGAGGTAATATTTTATTTACCTACTGATGCTGGACTTTGGATTTTTTTTTCCCAAAGAATTGTTGTAAGATGTGTTTTTATGTGCATGTGAGGAAAATGGGTGTCTCTTCATGCATCACAGCTCATCTCACCGATGATGCTGCTCTCATACAGTGCCTTCTTCTGTTTGCATCAGTACGTGTGTGAACTATCATCCTCTTATCTATGGCTGATTGAGTCTTTACACCCCTCCCAACCCCCTGGCTGTGTGTCTGTATTTGTGTGTGTGTGAGCTGTTGGCGATCCCTCGTTGGGATGGCGAACCTGGTGACCTCCCTGCTCCATGCCTCCCAGAAACAAGGGCTTCTCATGTGGCTGCTAGCCAGTTGCACTGAAAGCCCACCATTCACGACTAGCCATCCCTTCTATGAGTTTGTCTCGGCATGTGTGCGAAGGAGAGGGGGAACAGATGGATAATTTTTGAAATTACAGTTTGAGCAATTGCTTGTATGCATGTGTGAGCAAGCATGTATATCAGAAAGAATCTGTGTGCATATGGTATACACTTTATAGACACTTAAAATAAGAAATTATAAAACTGTGCAACTGTACAGATGGAGAAGATGTTTGTGTAGAGAAGCACTGAATCCTAGGACTTTATGTTCAGAGGATAGCTTGGCTTAAACATTCAAAATTGTATGGCATAGACTGTATGTAAATGATAGTCCTTTTAGCTTTGTAGCTGCCACTCTAGCAATGAAAACATTTACATGGCAGGCTGGGATTATTAGCTGTCAGCTAATGCCAGCAACTTTGGTCAGCATAATGAATCTGTAGACCAGGGATGAGAAAGTCATTTTTAAGTGGGCCAGACCTGTGAAAGTCTCCTTTCTGTCAGTGTAAACAAGTTTAATTAATCCCCAAGATATCTTAATAAAAGAAAAAGAAGTGCAATTTTAATAAAACATCTCAGTCTTTCTACGTGATAAAGAAATGCTGCTCCTGAGAAAAGGAAAGAAATCTGTGAGCACAACTCTTTGGGCTTAAAGTCTAAGACATGAATGTGGACAATTATAGAAAGAAGTAGTAGTTCTGGTAGCTTATTGGCCAGACTGCCCTGTAATATAAACCTGAAAGTTTTTATTAATTAACAGAAACAGTCTTTTTTCAGCACTTTCTATAGTAGATAGTGTAAAACCAGGAACTTTCTGTCATTTAATTGTTTATTAATTAATCACTTTATTGTAGCCATGGCCATGCTGGAGTTCTGTCACTATATAAAACGTAGATTTTCCCGAGCCGTTCAGTGGGTCAGATTGGTTTCTTTGCCGGGCTGATTCTGGCCCCTGGACCTTATGTTTGACATCCCTCACATAGACTGCATGGGTGACACAGGTTTTTGCCAATTAATGGAAAATAACATACTGATAAACTGCCAGAATTTCACTCACTCAAACCCAAACATGAGTAGGAAACAGTAGAATTAAAAATACTCCAGAACACATTTGGAACTCTAAAATTAAGCGTTTATCATAAAATGGGGGTGTACTGAGGTTTCTCAGAGACGTCATGTGGATGACAGTTAGACATAATAGACGTGATACAACCATCGGTTACTAGTGAAAAATATGTATTCCCTGACTGGATAGCAGTGGTTCCTGGAGGTTGCCTGGGAAATCAGATTGAAAGAGGGCAATGTACCAAAAACTTCTTAGTGATTGCTTTGGTTGTTTGCAGATTACTAAAGTTACTGTAGTTTTTCACATATGTCTGCAAATAGTTGCTAACTACTAGCCGAGCAGTAGTACAATTTGGTAAAGTGCAATAAAAAAAAGTGTTGCTAGAGTAAAAGTTGTGCCTCAGCGCAGCAGCCAGCTTGTTTCATAAGGTGCAACTTGGACTTTGAGGGCGAATGGTCTCCATTTATGCTTTCAGTACAGCTCAGAGTGTAGCTCGCCAACATTTGTGGACAAGTCCATCACTTCCATTCAATCTATGACTGTAGTAATATGATAAAGACCAAACAACCTCAGGGTTTGGAGTGGGTGTGCAGGGTTTATCATAACTGATTTCAGCTCCGACAGCTTTCATACCCGGCCGCAGAGTCAGCGCAGAGTCAGCGCTCTTGATAAGTTTGTCTACACCTTCTTCCCAGTAGGCCACAGCAAAAAAACAAAAAAAACAGAGCAATGGCCACCACGGTATGGTGAACAGCAGGAGTTTACAGCTGTTGAATTACCTTAGTCTCCTTAGGACAGAAACTCTTTGTCCCTTACTGTACACCACCTGCCTGTGGCCAGTCCAAGTTGCTATTGAGCTGCACACCAGGGAATTTAGAAAATGAACTGAAGCCACAAAAACTGTCTGGACCACAATAGAATTCCTAATTCATTTAGTCAAAAGAATGTGATTTTTTATTTAGGAAGTTATTGTTAAGGATTTGAACTCATAAATATAACAATGGGCTTCATGGAGGTGTCCAGTTCCTGAGTCAGAATGAGAGTTAGAAGAAGAGTCATGCCCACAGCCCCCAGTCTGGGTCCAGAGGTCAGTGTTTTTAGAGGAGGGAGGAGATAAATGCAGTGGGTACAGCTGAACTTAAAGACCTTCAGGGTTTGGTCTCAAAGGTCTACGGTGTCTGAAGGTGCACGGTCACAGGGGTGGGGGTGATGTGACGGAGCGAAAGAGTGGCTGAGGGGTGGAAAGAAGTAAGGCTAGTGGTGGGGGTGACCATCTGGATTGGATTGTAGACATTCCTCAGGATGAGTGTTCGTAAAGGTCGAAGAAAAAAAAGAAGAGGGGTCACTGGGCCCTCAGTGTGTGTGTGTGTGTGTCTGTGTGTTTATTATTCTTTGGCTCACTCGGTGTTTCAGTTTATGATTGTGGTCGGTTCGGCAATGTTTAAGGTATTTCTTCCCCAGTGGGATCGTGGAAAGGGAGATACTTTCAACAACATTTACGTGCGCAGTACTGCAGGTGTATATTAACGCCGAGCTTGCACGCACTTGCAGGAGGGAGGTCTGCGATCATGCTGTCGCTGGACGAGCCTCTGGACCTGAAGCTTCCTCGGAGGGCCAACGGGAAGGACAGAGAGGCGCGCAATCCTCCTCTCTCACCGCTGCACCCCAAACATGCTCGCCAGCTCCACATGGCAGATGATGGGACAGCAGTCATAGAGCCTGCCTCACCAGCATCTCCACACACAGGTGAGTAATAACAAACCACAACACAACTGTTTCTATGTTTAAGTGGACACACTGAGGCTAGTGTCCCTGTGTTGTGTTTTCATAGGCGTGCAGGTGGTCCCTCATGATCGAACAGACACTCCCACCCCCCCTGCAGTGGACCTGAGCATGTCTCCATCCTCCCGCCACACCCCAAGCTCTCCAGAAATGACCAACGGAAACTACATCCCTTCAGGCGTGAGTATATCAGAGCTCAAATTCACACACACACACACACACACTCTGACAAGCACACATAAGTGCTCCAAATCCACATTTTCTCATACTCTTTTCTTCGTTCACCTCCAAGTTGTTGTTAAAATGAACACCGTCTCTCACTGCAGCGGTGAGTGAGCACACTTTCCTGTCGACAGCTAGGAGTGAGTCAGCCTGCTAGGGTCAGCAAATCAGGAACAACATCGGGTTGTGTCACACTCACGTAAGGGAATCAGGCTATGGAAAGGGTGGGAGGCCTCTGTGTGAGACAGAGTGGCAGAGTGAGGGGGTAAAGTCTTATCAAACACCTCTTGTGTCCCCAACAAATACCTTTGTCTGTGCAACTTGGACTCAGTGGCCCTGCTGGCATGATGTGTGTGTGTGTATGGATGTTGGTGTGTACATTTATAATCGGATTTAAGACATGCAGACCTCACGCCGCCTAATTCAATTCCCACGCAATTGAATTGAGGCATGCTGGCTGGGGCCATTCAGTCGCCCCACATCTTATTGAGTCTCACATCCCTCCAACCCAAACCCACCGCAGCACACACTTAACTTATCCCTGTGGACATAGATTGGAGACTATCAGTCTATCTTACCGTCACACCCAAAAATAAGACCTCTTACAAAGTAGCTCACACACTTTTTGCACACAGAGCTGCAGCTCAGTGCAGGGAAACGGCGTCATTTTATGAAATTTGTCACCTGCGCATTCTAACACTGAAGACTGTGATCTCTCTGTACGCCCTTTTTCTCTGTCTGTGCTCCCCTTGAAATCTCCGTGTACCTGTGTGGCTCTTTGTAAACGCAGCATTTCATCCTTCCCGTTCTCTCCTCGAGCTAAGATAAACTGTGTGTGTATGAGTGTGTGTGGGTGAGCTGGTGCATTAGATCTTTGAGCCCCAGCTGAGATCCAGCGAATCTTACATCTCTCATGCCGAGCTCAGGGATGTAGGGAGGTTTTGTAGTGCACAGCGGGAAACTACTAGAGGAAAAGTGGAAGGGATTTTTTTTGAAGGGAAGGACATGAATCTGCAGTTCAGTACTCCATTGATAAAAAGCGACACTTTTACTTTGTCAGTCAGTCCGTCCATCAGCACCTGTCTGCTTTTCAAATGCAGCGCACTCCACAGCTTTAAAGCTGGAAGTGCAACAGCTAGTACTAAACAGAAGGTTTCACCCTTATACGATCATAACTATGGACAGTGGCAGCTGAGTGTTATTTACATATATCCTTTCATTTTCTGGGTTTTATGATATACAGTAAAGCTTGTGCAGCAGTTTAATAACTCTGTTGCTGTTTTCCCTCTTTTTTTTTTGGTTTGTTTTTACCAGAATTCTCATATCTCACAGGCCTTCCAGTTCTTTGTGCCAATAGGACATGGGACAGGACTTCACCTTCCATCCTCTATGTTCATTGGCCAGACTAGTGACAAGAGATCCTCTCCAGATCTTTCAGCAGATGAACAGCTAGCCTGTCGTTGGAAGAAGGTAAAGCTTTTTCTGATGCCCTTGCAGGGAAGTTTGAATCAAATCAAAACAACTGCATTGTCACAAGATTATATTCAAATGCTTTTCCCTCCCTTAGTGCCATCTGCTGTTTGACTCCCTGCAAGACCTGGTGGACCACGTTAACGACTTCCACGTCAAACCTGAAAAGGATTCTGGGTACTGCTGCCACTGGGAGGGCTGTGCTCGCAAAGGGAGAGGGTTTAATGCTAGGTGAGTTGAAAACGGTTAATTTTGTCTCTGAGGGGGGAAATTCAACAAGTGAGAAATAGATTTAAAGCTTTTTCGTTTGTGTGTGCCGCAGGTACAAAATGCTCATCCACATTCGCACTCACACTAATGAGAAACCCCATCGCTGTCCCACCTGCAACAAGAGCTTCTCGCGCCTGGAGAATCTCAAGATACACAACCGCTCACACACAGGTCAGTGGTCAGAGCCCAGTGAGTACTGACGGATATCTGAGGCAGTGTTTGCTATACAATTAAACTGTAAAGTAAAAATTAATAAGGAAGTTCTTTATAATAGTCAGCTTGTGTTTTTGATGGCTTCTATCGAGTCATATTAAATAAAACATGACATTTTTTAAATGGCGATCTCCATTAGAGTAAGAAAGCAGGCTAAACCGAGCTGTGCTCATTGGCTGACTTGTGATTGGAGAGTCAATAGATAACAGCTGTTTGGTTTAAAAAAACTAAGACGATGACTGCAAAAACATTCAGCTTGAGGCTGTGAAATCCTTCATATAAAGTCTCTACTTAATTCCTACAAAGGCTTTTGTTTTTGTGGAGTAGATTTTTAAGATTTTCTGAATGAATCTAAACATCTGTATCATCTCTCCCCCTGCAGGTGAAAAGCCCTACATTTGTCCGTATGAGGGTTGCAACAAGCGCTACTCCAACTCCAGCGACCGCTTCAAACACACACGCACGCACTATGTGGACAAGCCCTACTACTGCAAGATGGTGGGCTGCTTGAAGCGCTACACAGATCCCAGCTCTCTCCGCAAGCACATCAAAGCCCACGGCCACTTTGTGACTCAGGAGCAGGGCTCCTCGGGTGGAGTGGGCTCCCTGTTAAAGGGAAGTCAGAGCGGGGGGTTTACTAGTGGTGGTGGGAAAGATTCAGAGTTGTCCTATGTGAGTGGAGCCCACATTATAATCCCAGGGGCAGCGGCTGCTCTCCTGGGAGGCCATGCTCTGCAGGGCCTGGGTGGAAGCCTGCCCCTGTCCCCACTCAGTTCTCGGCCCCTGGACCTCAGCACACTGGGCTGTGCCAACTCCCCTCCTGGCAGCTTGGGAGGAACATCCATCCTCTCTTTCAACGGCTCCCCGCTGGGTCTCACAAAGTCCCATCTTCTCTCCCCCGCGTTTCCCTCCTCGGCCCTGGGCCTGCCGATGGTGCCGGTTCTGGGGCCCGCATCCGAGTGCAGGGCCCAGAACCACCATGCAAAGAAGGGCAAAGGAGAGGAGGCAGAGAATGAGGTGACTGGGGGGGCCCTGAACCTCTCCACAGGAGGGTCTCATGATCCTTTGTCCTGGGTCGTCATCCCCCCAGGCACTGTGGTGCTCAAGCCAGCTGTGGTCAACTGATACACACACACACACACACACACACACACACACACACACACACACACACACGTTTTACTAACACACATTCCAGAAGAGCTCAGGGGGTCGGGATGGGAGGGTCAATGCCATAGTGAGGGTCTGGGCAGTCAAAGGTGATAGGGATTGGCTCGCACAATCAAATCCAGGCAATGCATTGGGATAGAGACACTTAAAGAATAAAAGCATACTTATCAAATCGGCAATCAGCAAAACAAGTGAAAATACTACACCTCACAAGAATGAGCGTGCAACAGAAGGCTATCGCATTGTTGGCAAAAAACTAAACTTGAGGCCCAAATGCTCTGTTCAGGAAACTTGTATGGCTAAGGCCTTACAACAGGCTCCTCTTTCCTCTCTTATTTTATACTCTACTCATTCCTGTTTGCTGTTTCTATGGACAAGGACCATGAACGTGACAGTCTTAGTGCTCTGTGTTCTTACAAAAGTCCTCCTTCATTGACAAGTATTTATAAGACTGTACTTTGACAGTGTGCCTCCAGCTTTGCAGTGAGATACACACACAAACACACACACACACACACACACACACACACACATACAAAATAAGTGACGCGCTCACATTTAGGCAAACAGGGGGATTCTCAAATCACTTTAAAGTTTTGACCTATTTCTCGCAGGGCGCTGTGATTAATATGATCCAGACAAGCTTGCCAAACCAAAGCAAGTGAACTCAAATGTATTTGTGCGGGGGGACGAGACCATTAAACACAGCGAATAATAGCGTCAACTGGCTATAGTATCGAAACCTCAAAACTGCTGCTAACTATTGACAATCTGTCCCCAGTTTGGGGAGAGGGTGACCAACACAGACCAGCCTAGTCCACCAGAATGTGTACGAGGTGTGCAGACTAGGGGCTTTTAGGGGCACGGAGCAAACTGAGGACATAACATAGACAAACGGTGTTACATCACCTGGCAATCACCAATCGATTTTCAAGTGAGATTTAAGGCACTGTGGTGTAGCCGACACCCTCCAACCCCCCTCCTAGTAGGACGTGACACACACGACATCCTGCTTGCCTTTTACAGAACTAGCACTGTTTTTTTCTCTTGGATTGTCCAGCTGCTTTCTCGTAATTGAATCAACACGGCCATCTTGCGTATGAAAGGGCCACTGTGGCGATAAACACTACTGTCTTGTTTTTTTTTGTTTTTTTTTAAGTAACCCGACCCAAAACCAGCTGTGAAAAACAGGTGGTCGTCCAGTCGAGGTCCAACCCGGAGCCGTCGGTCGAATATTTGTCCTGAGTTCAACAAGTTTTCACGCTGTGCCAAAAGTACCTGGAAAACTGCAAGCGGGATGTTCGCATTGTGCCACATGGGAGGGGTGGAGGTGTGTTTGGGCGGGGGGGTGTTGTGCACTCAGTGCCACATACAGCTGGACTGACTATGAAGCCACACTATTGCAAACTGCCTCAATTTACTCTGTCCAAAGGGGCAAAAATGGACAAAACAACAACAAAAAAAGACTCATTTAACTTCTGGGAAACTTCTCATGGTTTGATAAAGCTGTCGACATGCACTTATCACAAACTATATCCCTTGTGTGTTCTTATGAAATGTTACACGGTTCTTTGATCAGTTGTTTTGCTCTCAGTCCATTTTTTTTCCTGCTGTGGGTCCTTCCAGACGCCTGTCGCTCAGTAATTGTCCGTGACACTGACTTTGATTGCTGCGTGCACAGAAGAGAGAGGTCGAGGAGCGGGAGAGGAGGATCATAACACAAGGAACATTCCCTCAAGAGACTGACATAAACCCCAGCCCTCCTCTCTCTTCACTCCTCCATCTCTCCCCTCTCCTTCCGCTTCATTGGCTGTCTCCTTTTTTCATCACTTTATCCAAGGGGGCGATACATTTAGTTATTGCTGTTTCGTGTTTTTTTTCTCTCTCTTTTTGTTTTGCTGTTGTTCAGACGAGACATTTTTTCTAATGTTGAAGATGCTTCTTGTGTTCTGTCATGGCTTCTCTGCAAATCAGCTTTCTGCTGTCGAGGATGAGTCTTTCGAGAGGTCGAAGAGTCGAAGAGAGGGAGAGCTTTGGTTGGTTTTCCAGCAGCAGTGGTCCCCAATCTGACATCTGGGAGACAAAAGGGATATTATTATAAATCTGAAGGGTCGGGTAATAATTTTTAAAAACTTTAAAAATGCTTCAGTAGATCAGTGGATGACACTAAGTCTGTTTGCCAGCCTGTTATTTTGCCATTAGACCTATATGTGAATAATCTTTAGTCTTTCTAGAATAATGAATCCAGTGTGATTCTTTTGCCCCTCAGGATCATTTTAATAATTCAAGTGATCTCTATCATCTAGTGCTGTCATCCACCCATCCATCCTCTTCAGGATTAGTAGGGGTGCTGGCGTGTATCCCAGCTTTTACTGGGCAAAAGGACAGCTCACCAGTCTGTCACAGGGCTAACAGAGAGACAGACCACTGTTCACACCTATGGCCAATTTTTTCCATTGTAGTATGTTATCATGTACTTTAACACACTGCCTTTCCCGAGCGTAACCTCACAGAGACAGTTAAGTCCTCAGTGTGGTTTCCTATACAGTGTCACAAACTCCTTAACTCCTCCCCCGTGGATGCCTTCTATGGGTAACCTTTGTTTCTCTTTGATCTGAGTCTTTTCTGTCATATTGCAGATCTGCTTCCAGAGCAAAATGACTGGGTTTGAATCAGAAGTGAGCTCTGCCTATACAGCTTACCAAGGCTACCCTTGGAAAAAAACATAGAACCTGCTCTAATGATCGTCAAACAACGTCTTTATTGATATGTAAAGGGCGACGCTGTTAAATTTCTTAAAGAGTTAAAATGAAACCGTGTTGTGAGGAACGGTATCAGTGTTTGGGGGATCTGCTGAACATATATTAAGACTAAGACCATACACTGTGCAAAAAGACAAGGTGGCAGACACAGTGATCTGTAATCTGTTCAGTAGGTTTGGGTTCAAATGAATGATGTCCTTGAAAATGTGGATTTTCTATCAATAGATGTGTGCAATTTTCATGCAGAACAAACAAGAGGCAGCACTTCCAAAACTTTACAGATTCTACCAAAACCTGGAAACCCTGATTTCGAGGCCATAACTGCAGATTTGATCCCTTTTGTCTTAAGCCAAAAGGTTGGAACCACTGCTTTGACATTACAGTCCTCCAAGACAAACACACCGGTGTGTGCCACTGAGGGAGTGTGAGCATAATAAATGTCTTTATTGAGAGAGTATCCGAAACAAAAAAACAACACTAAGGAAAACATCTGACTGTGAAATGTTGGGCAGCACTGAGAGAGCGTGAGAGCAAAGAGAAAGGCTTGGCTGAATGAATAAATGAATAGACAAGGGACGGGGAGAGATGAGAGCAGAGGCTGTATGCCAGTGGAGGTTGGCTGTGCAGCGCAGCCACTCTCCATCTGGCCACCTACCCCAGCAAACGGCCCTCTCAGCTCTGAAGTCGCTGTGCTGTGCTGTGCCCAATGTGGCAGCCACTCAGAGGCATACCAGCCTGCAGAAAACTAGGCCACTGAACTCTAGCTGCCCTCTGGGCTTTTTTCTTTCTTTTTTTTTTTTTTATAGATTGGACCTACAGGCTCAACTCCCCCACCTCCTGGCCAAAAAGCTTTTCTTGTTTTGACAGGGATAGTAAAAAGGCCACTTTCACAGCAAACAAAAGAAGTATAAACCCCCGTGCCTGAGTTTGTGCTGCCCACAGGTCCACCAGGATTCACAGCCTACCTGTGTTTCTGCCTCAGTAATTTTGTTAGTCATTATTATCTCAGAGACCCCCCCCCAAAAAAAAACACCACACACACACACACACACACACACACACCATTGGCCTGTCTTTGCAGTCCGGGTGGGCATTGAATTGAAAAGAATTTCTCGCTCTTTGAGTGGACAATCCTGGCGTGTGATGTCACCAAAACAGGTGTTAAGTAGGCTAGACACGGTTTCCATGGCAACAGTGAAACCCACAGATGCTGCGGCTCTCCTCTTCCTCCTCCACCTCCCCTGTCTGTCTCTTCCTCTTGCTGGTCGAAGCCAGGGACAGAGACTCGGCATGGCTGCAGAAGTCTGAACGATACTGACACGGATCCTTCCAGGGTCCACACATCTTTAATATTAAATAAGCTGTACGATCCATTAACCCTTTGAGCTCAGCCTGTAATAAACCGCCCCCCTCCCCCCTTTATAGCGAGTGTAGATTAAGGTGATGCTGTCACGTCTTTTCTCAGCGTAGTGCGTTATTCGTCGGTTGTTTTTGGGAACAAAGTCATTGTAAAAAGTCATTCGGAGTCGCTAAAATGTCTGAATTCTAAAATCGTATTTTTCATATAGCATAAAAAGAAAAAGTGGTACGCATTCCTGCAGATTTTAACACTTCACGTTGAGACGCGTGGAGCTGAAATCCAGGGCAAAAAGCTGTCAGCGAGTCGGGTCAGGGTAAAAGGGGTGCCGCTGACCGAAAGCGCTACGGCGTTGCACAAAGGGTTAATGATAAGACTAGGGCCACGCAAGGCCTGTTCCAAGTTCTGTTTTTTTGCACATTTGTGAGATATTATGTCAGTATTTTAATTTTTCCAAGTGCCTTTTTATTATTATTATTATAGGTAAATATAGAAGTTATACACTATGAAAAAGAAAATGATTATATGAAAATATATTTTTTTTTCCCTGGCGTCATGTTCTATGGTCGAACATGCAGAATTTTAGAGTTGTAAAAGTCTCCAATTGGTACAACATAGCGGCGTTCTCCTGTTTTAGAGGAATTTTATTACGATATTGATAATAATGTCAATGAAAACAAAAAAATGTTTAATAAAGCTGCATTTGATACTTCTGTGTGCATTTTCATTTCTATCTCACATATACATTAAAACAGGTGAAAACCAACCCAGAATAACCTGATTAACATTCAACTCGATGCAGTTAAATTCAGCACATTAGCTAAAATTGTATGTTTAGAATTATAGTTTCCTTTTTTGCACCTCATTGCTTGGCAAAAAAAGTGTCACAAAGTCAAAACTAGAGAAAAGGAGAAGACTTTTAATTGGGTTATAATTTACAGAGGATGGGGAGAGGAAAGACCGGGCATCGCTTTGTCCTTCATGTTTCCGTGTTCTGCTGTGATTGCTGCTTTTCTTCTTTTTTCTGTATACTTAGTTCCTCATCCAGACGCTCTTTTGCTCGCACCACCTACACACAAACAATAACAGTGATGACAAAGAGAAAGAGGTGACTTCAATGTTTTTAAAATACAAATTAGTCACAGTAAAGAGGAAGTACAGAGCAACTGACTGAACGTCAAACATTACTCATTACAAAGAGTCGACTCCACCCACGTGTTACTTGATATTCAATGAGAAGACTAAAATAGGAGTGAGAAGTTTGTATTTGCACATCTGTCATAGAAACTATCAGGCTGGTCCTGAGAGCGAAAAAAAACACTGAGCTTTCAAACATGAACTTTGGTCCGATCTGACCAGTCAGCCAGTGAAATCTGCCCCACAGTGACTTTTCTGTCTTTAGCCTGTGGCAATTCTTTTTTTCTTGTGAACATAGTGGAGTTTTTAAATCAAGTTGCCACTACAACCGTTTGCATCGTAACTGGAACGGACACATTTTGATGCCTTCAAGTTAAAAATTCAGAGAAAATAAGCAAAGATAGAGCGATATTATCTATCTTTTGCATGTTAATCTAGAAATTTTAAAAGTTTAGGGAACAGAAAAATAGAAGATAAAAGTTTTGGAAGTTACAAGTACACAAAAAAACAAAAACAAAAAAATGAGGAAGAGGGAAAATACTTTCCCACAGCACTGTGCGCTCACCATGGAAAGGATTCACTCAATGTGAATGATTAATATAGTAAACAGTGTATTTATAATTTAATTAAAAAATATATTAAAACAGGTATTTTGAACACAAACAGCATCTCTGAGAATAAACAGTTTCTGAGGGAATCTGTCAGCATCAGAGTCGTTTAACATCATCACTCTTTAGTTCAGTCTGATCAGACTGGTTAGTTTTCCCTCAGGAACTAAACAGCTCGTATGGCCAGTTAACTTTGTATTGTGGAAGAAGGCAGGGCACTGAAACCTGCAACCGTCACATGATCTGTGCTACATGATCAACATGAACTACTTTATTCTGCTGAGTGTTTTCCCCAAGCAAAGTGTGAATGAGCGGAAATTCAACACAAAGAGCAAAGTTATGGTTTTGGTGTATTTCTATCATTTCCACCATTATGAGTAAATGCCAACTCTGATGTTGTGCCACTTTAAATTGACATGATATATATCTTTTATTTCCATACTTCCTCAGTTCTCAGACACATCTGACCAATAAGTGGAGCGAATGTTCTCAGAGATTCCTTTTGGTTTGTTTTGATTCGTCGTTGCATCATCAGAACCCAAGAGAACAGCAAAAAAAGGGTGAAAATGCCTTTTGCAACAGTTTAAAAAACCTTTTAGAACAGCTAGTTCTGTCTTCACAATATCTGGCAGAAGAAAGATCTGAGTTTGAGACTCAAAACTCTGACACCTACAGGTATAAAATTGTACTTTTTAATTATTTATTTATTTTTTGGTGCTGATTTCATCTTTAGACAAGCAAAAACAATGTACCAATTTTTATGTTCATGCTGCCTTAACTGTACACATTTAAAAAAATGTCTGGAAAGTGAAAGTGAATGCACGTTTAGAGCACTTACTTTTGACTGTAGGTAAAAGGAACCGCCCACTGACTTGTCATTGACTTTAAAAAGGTGCTCGTAGTTCTGGTGAAGAGAAATGCTTCAGTGTTAGTATTCTAGTGACAGCATCTGACTCCATTTAATTATTCCCAGCAGAAACACACACTTTTTAACCAAATATTCTATCAAATCACATCAGTGACATAACATCAGAGATTCAGAAGTAAAAGAAAAGTACTTCAGCTTGCCATGTATTGTTGATGGGAATTGTCATGTAAAATATACCCGATGTTAGTGTTCTAGTGTTAAGCAAACGCTAAAAAAAAATTCCATTACTTGATGACCACTTTAGAGATGGTTTACCTTCCATGCAATCTTTGACCGTAAACTAACCAAACTACTGTATTTGTTTTAATAACTGTGTAAGAGTAAAAAGCTTCCACATCAGATGGTATTTAAAAAAAAAAAAAAAAGCTTCTAAGATCTCCAGACCAATTTCAACTTTAAAAGGATCTAAAAGGATCACTAGTGTGACTGTACCTTCTGAATCTCTTCAGGGCTAAGTTTGGAGATATTGAGGATCTGCTGGGCCTCTTGCAAACTAATTCCAGTGATGCTGGAGGCTGCGGCCGACTCCTGACCCGAACGACCCCTGGCCTGCGCTGCAGCTTGACTGGCTGTGTAGCAAAACACAACAAAAACAAATGTGATTCACATGCACACAGACACACATACACCTACAGTACCTGCCACTTGGGTACATTAGTTCCCATTAATTAACGCCAGGATCTATCTAATCAGCCAATTACATGGCAACAACTCAATGCACTGAGACATGCAGATGTGGTCAAGATGACATGCTGAAGTTCAAATATTGCATGCTGATCTACTATGATTTTCGCACATAACCATACGTAGGGTTTACGGAGAATGTTAAAAAATGAGAAAATATCCAGGCTGATGTCTAGGTGAAAGTACTTGGCTGATGCCCGAGGCCATCAACATTGAGAATGGGAAGACTGCTTTGAGCTGACAGGAAAGCAACAGTAATTCAAAGAATCACTCATTAGATCTAAGGTAGGCAGAGGACACATCAAAGCTTGAAGCAGGTGAGCTACAGCAGCAGAAGACAACACCGGCTGCTAATTTAGTATTGTTGCTGACCATGTCCATCCCTCCCTGCTTCCAACAGTCCTCAGATCTAAATCCAATAGAGAACTGATCTGAGGAATATTTACAGCAGCTTCGTGAACCTATGCCATGAAGAATTAAAGGCAGACATGAGGCCAGTGAACATGTAATGGTGATTTTTAAAAAAATGCTGATCAGACTTGTGACTTTGTGTGCAACATTTGTCTGAAAATTACAAAATGTGCTTCTAAGGTAACTAAAACTATAATGGTGTGCACAATTTACCTTACAGCCAGGGTGTGGCCCTATATTACTGAAAGTAAACTGATACTTCTTATATTACCTTATGCCAGGTGTTAAACTAGGTTAGTACTTTGTAACAATGTATTCTGCGCAAGAATCTAATAATCGACTAACTC